TGTGCCCAAACTCATAAATATTAGAGGAATTCGCGAAAATTGGTAAAAAATACATTCATCTTAATTCCGCTTAATTTGATATTGAACGTTGCCCTGTCTGTTTATGATACAAAAAAAAATACTTTGAGTCGACGTAAGGAACGTGGGGGACGCGGGGGAGGAGGTCATTTCATCAAACACGTCACTGGAGTTTCTGACAGAGCCGCTGCTATTATAGCTTCTTCGGTGTTGAAAGATGTCGGAATTGTTTCTTTAAATGATGCCAGTGGCGTCATTGACCTATCTAAGTTGCGCCGTGAGAGAACTAAAGTCAGAACAGCTTTACAGACTGCAGATCGCGATAAAATCATAACTGGTATTTATTTCGATGGTAGAAAAGACAAAACTTTGGTTAGTGTTCAAAAGGAAGGAAGCAACACGTGCTTCACGAGTAGACATAATTTTCGATCAGTATTTTTCGCCGTCTATTAAGGATTATGAATTAAGCCAACGCCACGAAAGTAATGGCTGAGTATCGTAAAAGTCGGAAATCTGATCAAAGTCGATTTAGTAGACTTTGTAAACAAAAAATGCAAACAGCGAAAACTCGTGACACATGCGTCTCAGATTCGATATAACGAATCTCCCACGAGCGAGTCTCATAGATTGTCGTATATGAGGGCACATGCCTCTCAGATTTGAGACGACGAATCTCCCACGAGCCGGTTTCAAAGATTATCGTCTATGAGGACACAAGCGTCTCAGAATCGAGATGACGAATCTTCTACAACACGATCCCGAAGGTTGACATCTAAAAGAACACATGTGTCTCAGATGCGAGACGACGAATCACCAACATATACAGAAAATAGACTTAAACAGTTAAGAGTGAATTCCCGGCGACATTATCTGCGGCGATAGCTTTTCACGGATGACTCAGTTTTCGATGATTCTATATCCCAAATCGCTAACCATGTATGCTACATTTGCAACAAATTATGTTACCAAAATCAAACGAAGCCGATTTTAAAAAACGCAACAATTGTTTTACGACTTGACAGTCCTAGTTAAATTATTTGTTGTAATCGATGCGCAACTAATGTTTTGAAAAATAAAACACCGCCAAACGCGTTCTGGAATATGGCGGTATTGCCTATACCACCAGAACTAAAATGTTTAAATGAGTTTTTGAACTTTTGATTAGCACAATAAAGCCCTTTCTAAAAGTAGTTCGCTTAGGTGGCAGATTTAGGCAACAAGGCTTTAAGGGCCAAGCAATTCTCTTTGCCCAGCAAGTAGAAAAAGTAGCAGAACAACTGCTAATTTCTATTATGAGTACTGGACTAATAATAGTATCAGAAACATTGCAAAATATTGCCTATAATAAAAAATATGCTATTGACATTGACAAAATAAAAAGAGCTCTAGAGTGGCTTGTTATTAATAATATCATTTGTATTCAGATGTCAGACTTAGTTATTAGAGATGCAGCGAATACTGAATTGGCCGAATACCTAATATCTAATATTCGGCGAGGCTCCTGTAGCCTAATGTTCGGCGGCCTAATATTAGGCTCCTATAGCCAAATATTCGGCGGGGCCGAATATTCGGCTGTTGTCAGGCGGCTGGTCTGCGTATCTCTCGACATGTTTCGACCCGTTTAGATGCAACGCGCGCGGGGGTGAAGGATTAGCTAGTTTGCCTCATTCGCGCGCCGCTCTTCGGCAAGATGCATTTGTTTACGTTTTTGTGATTGCAGATTCCTTGATTTTGTTATTATTTGAAATTGAAACTTTAAACGTCGAAGAAAAGTTAAAATGGCTTCAGTGACCAACAGTAAGACTAAGAATCCAATTTGGAAATATTTTGAGATCTGCAAAGACAATCCTAAGTTAGCATTGTGTTTGTTATGTAAAACAAATATCTCGCGTGGTGGAGAAGGAAAAAAAGCAAGTGAGTACCTACTACTTACCTACCTACCTTTACTATACCTACCTACCTACATAAACAAATGTTTGATGAAATGCATGCATCTCTCTTTTCTTTACAATGATACCTATAAGTAAAAACTTGTAAGAAGATATGGATGGACTAAAATTCGGCCGCTGTGAGAATGCGTTTTATTCAGACTGTATTATTAGAATTCAGACTGAGAAATGGCTGTTTTCCAACCCAACCATCCAACTCACGTGAACCTCTTGCTCGGTCATACCCTCTTAACTTAAGGTCCTGATAGTGTAGTATACTTACTGCCTTTGCCCTGTCAGGCCATCTTCTTCCTTCAATCTGTCCCTCCTACAAAATTTATTAAACATTATTTTTATTGTGTTAATTTTTTGTCTACAGCTACAACTGCTATGAAAAACCACCTGAAAAACAAACATGCTAAGGAGCATGCTACCATATTGGCAGAAAAACCTTCAACAAGTGGAAACGAGAAAACTGGTGCTCTCACGACTAGTGCACCTATTGATCCGTCAAAAGTCGAAGTACCAGGTCCATCGCCAACCACAAAACAAAAACAATTAACTCTAAGAGAAACAACTGAAAGGAAATTGTTATGGGACATAAATGATTCTAGATCGAAAACATATCATTACTTAATAGGAGAAATGATTGCTATTGATAATGAACCGTTTGCTGTGGTTGAGAGGTTTTAAAAGACTTATGGAAAAAGCAGTGCCACAATATAAAATGCCGAGTCGCACTTATATGACCGAGAATGTCATCCCAGACATTTACGACCGAATTCATACTAAAATTAAATCCAGTATCTTACAAGCCGCTGCGATATCGGTGACATCTGACATGTGGACAAATCAACATAATTACGAGAGCTTCCTAAGTTTCACTGCACATTGGTTGTCTCCAGATCTTAATCTTGAACATGGTGTACTGGCGATAAAGCCATTTTCCGGGCCACACACAGGTGAAAACATCGCAAAAGAGCTCAATGCTAATGCTGAGGTATGGGATATTCCTAAAAAGAAGATACATTTAGTCGTCCATGACAGTGGAGCCAATATGATCAAAGGCGTACGAGCTGCACAATACGATTCTGCCAAATGTTTTATTCATTCGCTACAACGATCTGTTGAGGAATCTATAAAATCGCAAGAAGAAGTATGTGAGATGGTAGCTGCCGCAAGACGGATTGTCACCCACTTTAACCACTCTGGTACAGCTCAACAAAAACTGAAATCCATACGTCAAGAACTTAACTTGCCAGACCATCAACTATTGCAAGATATAATCACACGATGGAATTCGACTTATTACTTGATGGTGCGATTACTGGAACAGAAAAGAGCTGTGTCCTTGTACATAACAGATCACGAGAAGTTGAACAATTTGACACCATCTCAGTGGGAGCTAATGGAACAATGCGTTAGACTTCTCAAACCGTTCGAAGAGATAACGAAAATAACTAGTTCTGGTCTGTCTTGCGTATCTGAAGTGATACCACATGTCGCCATATTACTCAAATACCTAGAAAAGCCAGAAACTGCAGCAAAGACATCAGACTTATTTATGATGCGATCCACACTGAAAACTGAGCTTGAAAAGCGGTTTGATTTTGATGAGAACGACAAGTATTTGGTCGCCACTTTTCTTGACCCGAGGTTCAAATGTAGTTTCGTGGGAACTGTTCAGGCAGAGAGAGCCAGACATAAAATTCTTTTGGACGAATTAAAGTTCAGTTGTGATGAGTCTAGTAGCGATGATGACTTCCCGCCACCTAATAAGAGACGAAACACTGAACAGGGTGCAAGTGGATCTACGCTAGAGGAAATCCATGACGATTTCTGGGAATGCTACGATGAAGTCGCTGCTGCCAATTTGCCAAATGAGGGGATGGCAAAAAGTGATATCGCTAGCAAAATAGACTTTTATTTGAAGTGCACTCGTCTCGATCGCAGGGCAGACCCTTACAAGTGGTGGTCTGCGAACTCCAAACAGTATCCCAAGCTAACAAAATTTGTTAAAGTGTACATGTCGTCACCATGCAGTAGTGTGTACAGTGAGAGACTATTTTCAGAGGCAGGTCTTGTGTACGAAGAAAAACGTAATCGGCTTTTACCAGCGAATGCAGAAAAACTGGTGTTTATTCACCACAATCTGCCTTTGATTAATTTTAAATATTAAGTAAGACTTCTTGTACCTTTTTTCGTAATAAATATATGCTTTCTGACTGAAATCATGTCTTTATTTTAATATTTTTTGGTATTCGGCATTTGGCCGAATACTGATCACTATTCGGCCGAATACCTAATACCTAAAAAGTGGCCGAATACCGAATAGTTGGCCGAATATTCGCTGCATCTCTATTAATTATGATACTATTACACAAGAGATGAATGATAATGATAATGTGTAACTTTTTGAAGCAATCGTATCGCAAACTGATGCGTCTTCAGTTATCAGAGAAGAAAATCCTGAAATGAATGATTTAGTTCAACGTTTACAAACACAGACACACACATACTTGTTTTAAAAATGGAAATCATTGCTGTTTTTCTTTTCCGCGAATAACTTCAGAGGCAAATAAAATTTTAGATGATTATGAAGCAGTACGTATTGGTGGCAAATTTTGCATTTTAAAAAGAGATATTCACAAATCGATGATAAACAATTATAATCCTAGAATTTTGAAAATTTGGCATGCCAATATAGATATATAAGCCTGCGGTTCTGCTTTGGGTGTAGCATATTATATATCGAAGTCTGAACCGGCAGAAATATCAAGGTCCATACGGGAGTCCATTAGAAAAGTTCAAGAACGAGGCGGAAGTTTTGCAAATCAGATCTTTGCAATGCAAAACGCCATTTTGACCCATCGCGAAGTGTCAGCGATAGAATGTGCGTATCGTCTCTGTCACTTGAAGTTACGCGATAGTTCAAGAAAGTGCGTTTTTGTTAATACTTGTGTTCCATCTCAAAGACGTTCGAATTTTACGCGTGGATTTTTCTGAACATTCGGAACCATTCAAAAATGTGTTTGATAGGTATGTTTGTCGACCGCATAATTTAGAATTTATGAGTTTAGGCGAATTTTCAGTTCAGTTTGAGACAATAACACGTATTGATGTCTCTGAGTATAATCAAGATGCTGATGCTTATGCTGTTGATGATGATTATACCGTAACTCGACAAAGATTTATAACATTATTAGACAATGCAGGGCGAATGAAAGCTAGAACTCGTCCCGCAATTTTACGAACCAGATACTATACGGCTTCTTCAGATCCAGAGGCTTTTTATTATTCTCTATTAGTAACACATGTTCCTTTTAGAGTAGAAGAAGAATTGTTGGAAGGGTTTGAAACTGCGAAAGAAGCTTTTATGAGTAAAATGAATTTACTTCGGCCATTACAACATGGTTACAATGCAGAAACTATGTCAAGATGGGAAACGGAAATACAAGAAGCTATTAGTCGTCTTGTGGCAGAAAATGCATTAACCAATCTAATGGAAAATGATGAGGGTAATGATACGCATATACCTTTGCGAATGGACAATGATGACTGTATTATATTAAATTAGGGATAGCAAGAAGAAGAAATAGAAGAAAATGAAACTGATACAAGATTTGTTAATGAAGCTCTTTCCTCATTGAACATTCAGCAAAAACAACTTTTCAGAAAAGTGACTCAAAAACTTTTGAATGATGACAATAATCAACCTCTTAAAATGTTTTTTCCTGGTGGAGCTGGAACTGGGAAAACGTTTACGCTAAAATTAATCGTAGAAGTAAGGAGGCTCCGTAGCAATCGTATGCATGAGAAAGCTATCATCGTTACTGCACCTACGGTGTAGCTGCCCGATTGATAGGTGGAAGTACCCTTAATTCAACCTTTACACTTCTAATAGAAAAGGGTAGACCAGAAAACTTGCGACCTTTAACTGGCGAACGCCTTCAAAGAGAACGACAAAAATGGAAATCTATGGAGTGGGTGATAATAGATGAGATTTCTATGGTACCTTACCTAACTCTACGGAATATTAATCTACGCCTTCAGGAAATGGAGCATAATCAACTGCACTTTGGTGGTTGTAATATTATTTTATTTGGTGATCTAATTCAATTGCCATCTGTGTCCAAAACAACTGGCGGGGCTTATTGCTATCGACAACCTGCGACTTTAATAGGTGAAATCAACCTCTGGCATCTATTTGATTTCTGTGAATTACCACAAAATATGAGACGCAACATTTGTGGATATATTAAATAATCTTAGAGTCGGACAACTGACAATGCAACAATTGGAGATATTAGATAGTCGACGGGTAGAGGTAGACGATCTCAATGAAATCATTCGAGTTTTCCCAACTACTAGACAGGTCGATGAAGATAATCAAAAGATGACAACTATATTGGCAAAAACTACTAGGTTGTATAAATTACATGCAGTTGATATATCAGTAGAATCAAAAACATATGGTCAAAAACTGAAAGATGTATATGTTTCTAATGATCCTAACAAAACTGGAGGAATCGTTAAATATTTAACAATCGGCATAGGATCACGAGTTATGTTACGAAGAAATTTTAATGTTACCCATGGTCTTGTTAACGGGGCAATGGGTGTTATAAGGGCAATTGAGTGGCCAGCTCTTCGGAGGGACCAATTGGAACCCGGAGAATTGCCACAGGCTGTTTATATAGAATTAGACGACAAAGCAATTAAAAACAATGTTCCTGGAGTAGGAGTCAGAATCGAACCATAGACGACAGAATTCAATGCACTTCGCGGATAGGGTAAAAAAGAGCGAAAAATGTTGCCATTGATATTGTACTGGGGTGTAACTGTACACAAACTCCAAGGACCGAGCTGTGGTTGACTTAAGTTCACGCATTTTTGCTAAAGGCCAAGCATATGTAGCTTTGAGCCTAGTTAGGTCTCTAGAAGGACTAATCATCAGTAGTTTAGACCACCGCAAGTTACTTAATAATCCCCACGATATTAACTCCCTCAATGAAATGACTAGATTGCGAAGTTTACCATCTTATAACGAAGTCAACAAATCGTAACTAAAAAGTATAAAATAAAAATAAATAATTTAAAGAAAAACAAAAAACCCGACTGCGTAAAAACTAATTTTAAAAAATACATGAAAAAATTAACTTAAATAAAAACTGAAAAGAAAAAAACAAGCCCAGTAGTTTAGAATTCTGTTAAGTAATACTAAATAACTACACAATTGAAATAGTTTTATAATCGATACACACATAAAACAAACTTCGAAACACACATAAAGCAAACTTAATAGAATTCTAAACTACTGGACTTGTTTTTTTTCTTTTTAGTTTTTATTTAAGTTAATTTTTTCAGCTAAGCAAGGTTGCATGAAAGGAATTGCTGGCTAGCGATAAAGCCGCTTTTTGTGCGTTTTTATGTAAAGATTTATGTTTGTCTATTTAATTTTAATATGGTTTGTGCAATAAAGAGTATTTATTTATTTACTCAGATGGATTTCGATTCTGTGCAGATTAAAGGGAAAGGAAATCCACTTACCTTCTTAGTATACAATAGCAAAGACAGCTACAACAAATCCAATGCCTTACTCTATAACTGATCTTAGTAAAAAAATAATTTATTAAACAATTTTTCTTAAAATATAGATTTTTTGCTCTTAATAATATAACGGAAAATTGTGATTGAAATTGACTGTAAAAGTATTGAAACGAATGTTCCTACTTTTATCATTCTTATAAACTTAAAACCATCAAAACTACTTAAAAAAAATCTTTAATAATATCAGTCGGTAAAACAGTATTAAAAGTTAAAAGTACTACTAGGTAGTAAGTAGGACGTAGGGATGTTTGAATTGACGACTAAGGCCCTTATGATACATGGAAATACATAACAGATGACGCAGAATAACTAAATCGCTTTATTATTGTTAGAAATAAATAGTTTTTTAATTAATCAATTAACTAAAAAATACACTTTTTTATAATAATCGATTTTCACATATCTGCCAATAATATTTTTAATTAATATCGTTTCTCTTGTTTTATATAGAATACCCCTAAAAGTAGAAAATTGCTGCAGAGCTAGCAACAGGGTGGGAAAAAGGGCAGTTGTGGGGCGGGGTGTACATATTTTTTTTTGATACAAAAAGATGTATTACCAATTGGGGGTTTAGCGTTGCTTGTTAACTTAATAGTGACTCCTTCAGATATTGGTGAGATCGTAACTCTAACCACTTTGCGTTCTAATTTAAAATACCATGACAAATACCGTACAGATCAACATATATTTGAGTTGTCGACCTGCTTACCATGAGATCAAAACAAGTAAACTTTTATAGTCTTGTATCTGTTTTCAAAATCAAACTCTATCGGTAACCCTCATCGATATCCAAGCTCTGATGCTGTCTCTTCATATGATTCTTCAGATTCACATTTTGGGTGAAAGATGCGCTGCACAACAGACACTTAAACTTTTTATCCGAACTGTGCGATTGCATATGTACTTTTAGTCCTCTCAAACGGGGATAACTCTTACCGCAGTATTCGCACCTGAAATTCCTTTCTCCCGTGTGTACAGCCATATGTTCTTTCAAACGAGATGGCAAATAAAACCGTTTCTCACACAAATCGCACTGGTGCTTTAGAATTTTCAAATGGAATCTTCTGTTGTGTTCTCTCAACGACTTTCTGCTGTCGTACACTCTATCACAATGTTCACATTGAAACATTCTATTTTCGCCATGGACATCTATCATATGTCTATACCTCAATGAGTAAGAGAAGAAAACTTCTCCACATTTGTAGCACTCGTAAGCTGGTTCTTTGTTATGCATCTTCGTTATATGCAACCGTCTACTGTATTTAGATTTAAAATTCTTCCCACACTCTTTGCATGGGAAATTCTCATCGATCTTCTGATGACATCTTTGGTGTAATGTCAACATTCGTTCCTCGAAGTAATGAGCGCCACATACGTCACATATACAAGTCCCGAAATGTTCCGCCATGTGCTTTTTTAGTGCGTGAAAGAAACTAAAACTACTATTGCATACCAAACAAGTCAAACTGTTCAGAGTCAATTTGAATTTCAAAAAAGCGTCCGTTACATCGTACAGTTGTTTCCCGTGCATATTAGTGATGTGACTTTTGAACGAATCCAAGTCGTCGATTGTGCTCGGGCACAGTCGACAATCGATCCGGAGTATATCGATTAACAAAAGCTTTTTCGTCATCGCGAACTCTTTGAATATAGTCGGATCGTGGGTTAGATTGTGGTCCCGTAGTTTACAAGGATCTGTGAATACTTCTTTACAATATGCACACTGATAATCACTGAAGGAATTATCGAACGGACATACATAGGAATTCTCAACTATCACGCATGTATTTAATAGCGCTTTGTCTTCCTTGTCCAATGATTTACGTTTGAGAGACTCTTTGACTGCTTCTGTGAAAAAAAATTATATACGGTAAAAAGATAATCTTTTTTTTCATAATAAAAGCCTTATTGGCATTTGCCTCTATTTTTTTAGATAGCTATTTCAAACCACATTATGAAGAATTACATTAAAAGACGCTTGACGTGTGTATTAGACAGAGGAAGACTAGTCTATGGATTGACGAAATTCAAATATCAATGAATTAATACACTTTATTGAAATATAAAAGAAAATAAAGGTTTTAGCGCAATAACCGAAAATTATTAACTCACCTTGTTCTTGTAACTGCTGCAGTGTCTCATTCATCTTGGACAAACTCTCAAGCATCTCTGCCCTCTCTTTCTCTTGTTCACTATCTCCTTTCTTCGTTTTCTTTACTTTAGATGTCTTTCTGAGAGATCGACTCTTTAGTGACTTTTTCTTTTGTTTTGGAGATTTCTTTGATTTCACTTGCACCGGCTTGTAGTTCTCCGATGGATCTGAAATACATGTATAATGTCAACACAGCACAGTTATTGCGGTAATCCAAAACAACGGAGGTACCGCAACATCCAGATAAAGATTGCAATCCGGAAATTCGGATTTGGTGACCAGTTTGAATAGTCATTGAAATTACAGATCTAGCAAAAGTAACTTCTTATGCCAAATTAACAAAAAGAATTGTGATAGAATATTTAAAAAAGAAATGACTAAATTTCAAAGTGAAGGAATTCCATTAGAAGCCGACAAGCATGGGATCTGAAGGTCCTTCTCGACCGCAGACTATTTCTTAAGATCTTTTTTTTTTCAAAACAATAAAATTATAATAAAGAATAGGTTTTGTGATCATTGTAATGAGCTGTGATTATTGATTATGGTTTAAATGCTTTCGTGATGGAAATTTTGATTTGAAGAACGAGCCACGAGGAAAACCGCCCACACAGATGAATATCCTAGTCCTAGGCACACTACCCAGGAATTAGCGGCATGGTTTAACGTTACCTTACCTCACTCATTTCCGTCAAATCAATCAAGTCAAAAATACGAAAAATGGGTGCCTCATAATTTGACTGATTTGCAGAAAGAAACGCGTGTTGAAACTTGTGTTGCCTTGTTGAATCGGTACAGAATTAAAGGTATATTGGATCGAATTGTGACATGTGTTGAAAAGTGGATTCTTTATGATTTATGAAAAATGCAATGGCTGACCCCAGGTCAAACGCCACAACAGTTTCGTAGAGCAAAACTTGCCAATAAAAAGGTAATGGCAACTGTTTGCCCGGAAGTTTTCCGGGCACATTAGGAATATTGCCGAAAGTTCCCAGGACTTTTAGATGAATAAGCATACTAAATCACTGCCACGTTATAATTCTAACTTCAATACGTGACGCCTTCTAAACTACCTATATGTTAAAAACATCCTCAACTCATCGTCGAGCGCAGCGGTGTCACATCATAGAACTTAAATGAAATAAAACTTTATTACCTTTGTACTTAGTTTTGTTTGCCTGAACGTCTATGCTACGACAGCGATGCGCTCAACGACGAATTCAAAGTTTTATAACAAACATAATACTACAGCTCCCGTTTCGCTACTACAGTACTCTCTCGCTAGTCCGCCGCTCGATAATCCGACAACTACTATAATCCGCCCATTTTTAGGAAGTCGATGTTAGCTGTAGACTCTCTGTAATCCGCCGTTATTGAACAAGTTCGGTCCAGTAATCCGCCGCCAAGTGTCAACTTCCTTCCCTTTCACTCTAATAACGAACATAGTTCTATTACTTCGCCGCCCGGTCTTTAGTCCGCCACGAAAAGTCGTGACCTGCACGCGTGTTTTTTATCACAAACAATACAAAATGGCTTCCTCTTCATCGCAACCAACTAAACGAAAGCACGAAACTTTAACTTTGACGGAAAAGATGGAAATCTTAAAGAAAGTGGATAGTGGTGTGCCTTTTACAGACATAGCAAATCAGTTTCATGTTGGGCGATCAACAGTTTATGACATTCGGAAGAACAGAATTAAGATAGAAAACTACGTCACTAAAGCAGAGTCTGGAATAGGAAAACGTCAAACGATGAGAACTGGTGAATATACTGGTTTTTACAAGAGCGTCGACGTCACACACCGATAACTGCTGAAGTGTTGCGGCAAAAAGCACGTCAATTCTATGAGAAAATTTATAAGAAAAATGATTTCAGAGCTAGTGAAGGATGGCTTTCAAAATTTAAGGCAAGATTTGGAATCAGATTGTTGACCATAACTGGAGAGAAATTATCTAGCAATGAGGCTGCCGTATCACCATTTCTTGAAGTTTTTAAGAAGAAAATCGAAGAACTTGATTTGACGGCGGATCAAGTTTACAATGCCGACGAAAGTGGCTTATTTTGGCGACTTTTACCACATAAAACGTATGTTCACAGAAGTGAAACGTCTGCTCCAGGCAGAAAAGTATCTAAGGAGCGCATAACTTTTATGCCTTGTTCTAATGCAACTGGCAGTCATAAGTTGAAGCTTTTAGTTGTTGGAAAATCCGAAAACCCTAGGCCATTCAAGAACATCAGTCTCCCGGTTGTTTATAGGAGTCAAAATAAAGCCTGGGTAACCAAAGACTTGTTTTGTGACTGGTTTCATAATGTTTTTGTGCCCGACGTGAAAAAATTTTTAAAGTCGCGAAATTTACCACTAAAAGCTCTTCTTGTCCTTGATAATGCTCCTGGACACGGCCCAAATGACGAACTATCATCTAATGACGGCTGTATAAAAACAATTTTTCTTCCTGCTAATTGTACGCCTCTACTCCAACCAATGGATCAAAATGTAATACAAATGATGAAAAACAATTACAAAAAGAAGATTTTACTTGACGCTATAAGTCGGGAGGCAAACATTTCTGAAACTCTTAAACAGTTGAATATAAAAGATGCAGTTTTTACAGTTTCAGATGCCTGGGATGAAATTGGAGAACGAGCCATCAAATCATCTTGGAAAAAACTTTGGCCTACCATTAGTGAAGATGATAACACTTGGGAAGAAGAAGATCTGATTCCATTACAGGAACTAATACAGTTAGCAACGATGACAAATGCGGGTTTAAGACGTGAAGATGTCGAAGACTGGTTTGTAGAAAACCCAGAAATATATGAGCCACATTTAACCGACGACGAGCTTGTAGAAAAATCCTTTGAACCGGATAACTCATCAGACGAAATATCGTTGCATGTAGATTGCACTGTCAAATCAGAGGACGCTTTGAATGGCGTAGATATTTGCATTAAATGGGCTCAAGAAAATGGAATGTTTTGCGATATGGTTAAAAATTTAAGGAAAATGCGTGATCATGTTATTACGAAGATTTATTCTGGTAAAAAACAAGCCAAATTAGACCAGTATTTTTCAAAACCTGAGTAATCAGTTAATGTGTCATTTATTTTTAAATTCAAATAAATATGTACGTATACATGTATTTAACTTCATAAGTTCATAATAAATACAATACAAAATTACTATGGTTTTTTATTGTTTTCCTCAATTTGATGTTCCTGTACATTATAATCCGCCGTTTTCGGTAATCCGCCGGTAGTCCGGATTTCTTGGTGGCGGATTAGCGAGAGAGTACTGTATCTACATTGTTTGCACCTCACTCCCGCACTCCCCGCCCATGCTTAACTGAACTGCGTCCCACGCGCCACCGAATGTTAGTAGCATCTAAACAATGGCAGAGTAAGATAGTGTTTCCTGTTTATGTATACCGAAAATGCGTGAGAAATCAAAAGTACATGAATAAATCAAAGAAAACAGAGACGAAAGTGGGCATAAATCTTATAAATGTAGCTTTTGTAACCATAGTTTTACATTAAAGAACGCCACCAAATTTGGCGTCATCTTGTGAACGCACTTAAACAATGTCCCCTTAGGATAAGTAACAACTTTAAAAAAAAGAGATTGATAAATTTTTAAAAGAGAACATAGCACCATATTCATGTAATTCTTGAATTCATGAAACATTTAAAGAAAAAGGGTAATATTTTTCGGTATAACATTGTGAATTCAAATTTGATCAAATATAATAACCGTAAGTGTAGATTTTTTAGAAAACTAAAAGTTAGGTTGATACAGTAAGCTTTATTGTATTTATTTTTTCATTCCCAATGCTGTCTCGATTTCACGATAATATATTTTATATAGTCTGTAATTTGTACACATATATTTTACTGTTTAAACTGTATCTCTAGTATTTTTATCATCTTGCTTACAATGGGTTTATAGAATGATCTAATAATTGAATATTTTATAAGCTGATCCGCTGACATCTGAACACTAAAATTGACTTGTAAGGATTATTTCACCGTAAGCTAGTAACTGCAGTCTTTATACAATTTTTTTTTATTTTTTATGATTTCTCCTCCTATAATATATTTTCCTCTAACCTTGTTTGCTGATTTAATTTAATAAAAGTGAATGTGGTATTGTTCGTAATTAATTGCTCAGCTAGCTCGTCAGTAAATGTAAAAAAACCGATAACGCTTATTAGTTTGCTACGTTTACTCCTTATTATTTCGTTGTAGAAGCACACCGCGGATTCGCGTAGGCGGTTTTTGTGACTGGACAACCTCTGAGTTTACTTGAGCACCCGCTATGGGTAGAAACACTGCTACTACTAACTAGCAGTAAAACAGCCCCGACTCATGAATTGACCATCACCATTATTGCTCCATGACAACGCGAGACCTCATACAGCACGAGAAATCGTTTTGAACCTTCAAGACCCGCAGTTAGAAACCATTCGTCACCCTCCGTATTCGCCAGACCATGCTTCAACGCGATTTGGACAATTATCTACGTGACAAGAAGTTTTCTTCCCAGGAGGCAGTACAAAATGCTTTCACACAGTTTGTGCAGTCTAGATCCTCAGAGTTCTATCGCTAAGACATAAATGACCTTCCTATTGGTAGAGGAGCCCAAGCGGGGATTTCGGGATTTACTAAAGCGCGGCAGATTAATGTACAGGGGGATACCTTGTACCCAGTTAAGTACCTGGACCAAGTATGAGCCCTATATAAATGGCTGCACGGCAAGGACGAAGGATCAGATTAGTAAAAAAGAATTGATCATCTGAAAATCTCGAGCGCATCAGATTTAAGGTAAGGTGAGCTAGTTATATGCTGAAATGTGTACATACCTCTAATCTGACAATTTGAGAGTGACGTAAAGAAGGGGGAAGGCTACAAAGTTGTAAAAAAAAACGTCACTTTGACATTCTCGAGCGTGGCTAATATTTTTTAATTTTGAAGGGAATCATTCAAGGATTCCGACAAATATATAATCTGACGATTTTCACAATCCGAAGTAATAAAAATTCATCGATAAGATGTAATGCGTGCAGCTACGTGATATATTTCCTTCTCCGCATCACTATTTCTTTCTCACTCTTTTTCTATCTATTACTCTCTCACTCCGTTCCGTCCCCACTCTGGTTTCGGTTGCCATGACGCC